AGCTCTATGATGATTTAGCATGGTAAATTGCTACCTAAATTCCCTCAGACCAAAAGCTGTTGGAAACGATGCAATGGCTCACTGAACTCTGTACAGCATGAGAGCTAAGCTAAAGGTCCTCCCGTACACACTGCCAATCGAAATTCAAAAACCAACTGGAAAACATTACAATCGAAATCAGAAGTTAGTTTAGCGCTTTAAGTGAAATTTTTGTCAACAAGGAAATAATAAGCACAATAGACTATATTCATCCTAGCCCTCGCTGAGAAAGAATTTCTCGAGCTAACTTAAAAAAGAGTATAGTGAAGGCCTTGAACGAATCAAAAATGACTGACGAGGCAAGCAGCGATGAGTGGGATCTCAGAGACCTATTCGTCCAAAATGCGGGGCATTTAAAAAGGAATTGTCCTTAAGCTTCAGGCTTTTTCACCTCTACCACACTTTCAGAATCCATATAATGATACAGCCAACCTCACGGTGTGCTTGATGAATAGAAGTTGTTCCGTAGATATTTTCTTTTTTTTTTGAGCGAGTTAAGCTCTCGGGGCATTTCACCGACCCATGACGACCACATCATTTGGGCATCATTGCCATTCACAAATGAAGAATGAATGATGGCGAAACCAGATGAAATGCCCATTAGATATAAACGCAATAAACTGAGGGTACCATTAAACCTATCAATTGAAAGTCTCACTTATAGCTGCCACAGTGATTCGAAACGAAACAAAACAGTAACGAAAGAATTTGCTCATACCAAGCTCCACTGAGTAGGCTCCGTTCCCCAAGGTGTTATCTGGTTTTGACCCATCCACATAAAAATGAATAGAGCCTACTTTTCCTGACCCTATACCATCGCATTGGTACATATTCGCTATGACCACATCGTAATCTTTCTTGAAGTCAGTTTAGTTTATATTATAGTAGTCCGCTCATTCTGGTATACAGAGACTTTTTAAATATTAGTATTTCCCAATTAGGAAACTTTTGTAGTCTTACAGTAGCTCAAGCGCCAATATGCAACCCACGTCTGTCTGTCTGTCCGTCTGTTTGAACGTAAACTAGTACTTCAGTTATTGAATACCGACCAAACTTGGTACGTAGATGTCACTGCTATTGACCCGATTTCTAACACGTTCCAGGAAGAATACATTTTTTAACGGTTTTTCTCCTACCTTGAAATGCCTAGAACTAATAATGTACAAACGTCATTAACAAAAGCAAATCACGATTATGGCGTGCAGTCATTGGAACAGCAAATCATGTGATTCGTTTGTGGTGGAAACGCTGCTTAAGCTATTCATTTCATGGATACGAATTGTTGTTGTAGTGCGGAAATATACTAAATACAAAAAAAAACGGAAAAGAAAAGAAAAATATTCTTTTGACAGACATTATTATTCGTAGGCTCAGAACCAACAAAAGACTATCAATTTCGCTTTTTATGCGCCATCAATTGGATGATGAGTCAATTGGAATACAAATCGCAATGGCACATATTTATGTACATTTTTACATATACGTATATAAAAGAAATTTAAATTAATCAAAAACACTACGTATTAAACACACATTAGAGTGTCCAAGTGTTTATGAAATCAGAGGTTTCTCTAAAAAATGGCTTAGAAAGATGTAAAATCGATACAACGGCGCCTTAAAAATTCTGAAAAATAATGAATTTTTGGAATGAAATTTATTTACTATTACTCAAAAATAATTTTTACAAAAAAGTTAGGAATTGTCTTTTAATTGTTAGTCGACAAGTAAAATTGAATACTCAGGATATAGATTATTTCATCGATAAAAAAATATATGGTACATAATATATGTTTATAAAATGTTTGCCAAAATTTAGTTAAAACAATTTAAATATAAAATCAACGATTATTCAACAAAAAAAATATTTATCGTAAATTATGCACCAAATATGATTAAAAAAATGCATATCCAATATGATTATTTTTGATTAAAAAAATTAAAATCACATCGATAAAAAATGATAAAACAAATGTAAATCATAAAACGCCGGCCATATTTTATCGAAAATAATAATAATTAATAATCCAAAAAATAATTATCGAAAAAATGTGATCAACTAATATAGAAGAAATTAACAACAGAATTTATAAAATTTTACCGAAAACATTTAAGTATTACATTAAAGTTGATTTATTGCCAAAAAATTAAATTTATCGATTATTTTTTATCGACACCAAAAAAAATTTTTCGAAAAAGTAAAAATCAGTTGAAATTTTCTGATTTTTTAATTTAAAAAAAATTATGCTACAAGCAAAAAAATGTATGTATTTTTATTGATGAAATGAAAATCCAAAAATTTACTAAATTTGACCGAAAACAAATATATAAAAAATTAAGGAATAAGCCACCCAAGGTTTTTTTTTTTGCTCACAGGAAACCCTTGGGCCCTCGAAATGACGTGCGATTGGTTTTAAAGTGAAAAAAAAATTTCAAATAGCTGAACTTTTTATGTAGCTGCAGACTCTTAGAATATCTTTTTATACTTCATTATATGTATGTGTAATAAAATGTTTAATAAAATGGTTAAATAGAAATTCTATTCCTTTTCCCATATTCCTACAAAAAAATTAAAAATTAAGTATATTTTTCAACCTCTAGAGTAGCGTTACCCCTTAGAATGAATAATAATCAATAAATAGAAATCATAAAAATCAGTGAAATATTATCGAAAAAAAAAATTAAAATAACGACAAAATGTAATCAATGTTTTTAATTCTAAAATTAACAAGTATTATTTATCAACAAAAAAATGGAAATCAGAAAGCATCGATAAAATATTTATTATCAAAAAATAAAATTTTATTTATTTAATTAACTAATATTAATTATTAATTATTATAATTTATTTATTATTTATACAAAAAAAAAGGAAATCACAAAATATCGATCACAGACCAAATGACGATAAATGACGAGCCACAGAAGTTCGCCGGGATCATAATTTAAAGAAATTTTTCTACTAAAAAAACACTTTCGTATGTTTCATTTCACCATCTTTTGCAGTTACCGATTAAAATATTAAGGGGGAAGCTGGTCTAGAATTTTGAAAAAATCGAAAAAAATTTTTTTTATTTTTAAAGGTACTTTAGGGTCTTAGAAATAACATACCAAAAGATGGATGCCGGCAAAAATGTCTAAATGCCCAAATTTTTCATTTGACGGCAGTGCCTTGCAGGTATGCCCCGAGCGACCTACAACTTTAACGTGTTTTTCCCGAACTCATTTTTTTTTCAACTGGCCAAAGACGTAACTCGAACAAGTCTTCACCGACTCTTGCGAAATTTTGACAGTACATTCGAAATACCGTTCTCCGAAGACGTGCGGATTCTTTTTTTTACATTAGATAGTTTTTTTTTTTATCGAAAAAATTCTACGTACGTTTCTTGCCGTTGTTATATAGAAACTAAAAAAAAAATTTTTTTTTGAACCAAAACAAAAATTAAGGAGTTTGTTTTAGCAAAACATGTTTCAGTCAAAAAAAAGGCTGTGTTCAAAATTAAGTTTTTTTTTAATCATTTTACAATTATGTCATCACTCTTCTTTTTCTTCTTCTTCTTTACTCTGTTTAGCGATTTTAGCTGAATTCAATTTGAAATACAAAACCCAACCAGATCCTTTCCACCTCATCCTTCCTACGGGGTGGAGATATACGCCAGCATTTGTACACTCTTCTAAAAGATTGCACTTTCTCTATTCAGCTCTGCAACTCTTTTTGTCTACTTTAGCATTGAATTGATCATACGATAAGCAGACACCCTGTTTGAAACCCCTTTTAGTGCCGAACGGCTCGGATAAGTCATTCATAAATCTGACTGCGCTTCCGATATTGTCCAGCTACAGTTTACACAATCATTAAACTATTGTATTTTGGCGTCCACTTGACGAAACTATGACAATAGAAAGATGGAAGAAATTTCAATCAAATATGAATGCTTATACTGTTATTCGGAAGACCAGGGCTCGAGTCCTTGTCCGACCAACATCTAAAAAATTATAGAAATTTAATTAAAATAAAAAATTAAATTGAGTTCTCTAATTGTGGGATGTCCACGCCACCGAATTTATTTCAGACAAAAAATAAAGGCTGCTCGTACAAAGAACATCAGCAGTTCGGAGGCGGCTTAGTATAAACTATAGGTCCCTTCATTTCTTGGAAGAACATCCAGACACAAAACCACTAATTTGAGAAGAAGCTCGACCAAAACTCGCTTCAGCGCCAGTTATATTATATATTATTATACGTATATATATATGTATGAGCGCCTTAGGCCTAGACAAAATTTCGACCACATCGGTAATCCTGTTTACAATATCTACAGCCAATAGTAAAGGCAAACGTGCCAGTATAGTTTTATTCCCTTTTGACAGGTCGCAAATATAGAAATGTATGTAAGTACTCTATAAGACTTAGAGCACTCGAGGGACTGGCCAAAATAGTCTCACTCTAAGCCCATACCCACCACACGTGAACATCTTCGGGTTGCTGTCTCGCTTAACTTCGCCTCGTCAACGCTATTATTGGAGACCTTATTTTTGTATAAAAAAATATTTATTTTCGTGTTTATTTGCCAACCACCCTAGTGTGCATATATATATATACATATGTAACAACTATTCTCCAGCATTATACTTGAACTTGAAAAGGTAGACCAGACCCGCACGGTCACTCACTTACCGTAAGCGTAATCAAAGGTGTGCGGTTGCAAGCGTTGAAATTAGAAGTCACATTGAAAAAAGCAAAACAAAAAAAAAATAAATAATTGAAAGTGAAACTGCATACTAAGAATTCGCACCTTCATATGTGCAAAATTTACATATTTATATATGTACATTATAAGTTGAATAAGAAGACGTACATAAATTAAAAAGAAATAAATAAAAGAGAATTATTTTCATTATTTTTTTTTTCACACATCAGATGTTGCCAGCAACATGTTGCGGCAACAGGTTTTTGCTACGCTTCAGTGATTTCCTAAGCGTGAGAGCATGCAAATCTTAATCAGCTATGATTCACAATCACAGCTTGAATAGTTGGCTTGGCATTATCAACGAGCGTTCACTTGAAGACAGTCCACAATTGACGACGGCCTCAAACGAACGCGAATGCGATTGTAAAACTTTAATTTAATCACGCGCTTTTGGCGACGAGGCGGAGAGTGCAGTTACATGTGTATGAAAATACAAGTGTGTGGGTGTGTGTGTGTGTAGCGTTAAGCGAACGGAGGCTTATTTTATACTTTAATAAATATAATTCACTCGATTAACTATCGGAACTACAACCCAACAGAGCGCGCCCGATAGCCTTTGTGCGTCACTTCAGCCGTTGATAAGCGTCGCTCTACCAACATTGAACAACACTTTCGTTAATCAGCAGTGTTTATTTTTGGAAAAAAAAATAAATAAATAAAAATATTTTTACACTGCTTATCAGCGCGCCAAATGGTGGTCAGTGTCGCGCTGTGTGGGACTGAAATTTTGCTCGCATTCATTGTTTGAGCGTCCAAAGTGAAGTTAAGAAAAATATTTTTTTGTGTACTCTGCACGTCAATTTAACAGTGTTTTTTTTTTTTTTTTTTTGGAGAGCGATGAAGAAACAGTATTTATTTAAGTAGTGATACAAGAGACTCGCGTGTCATACGTACGCCAGCTCGACGAGCCCCTTTTTGTTCAACAGCCAACACCCAATCACAATTACGATACACTTACATATGTACACACTGATAAATAAATCGTAAATAAAATAAACAGAATCTTAGCTCTGATCTCGTCTGCAGCGCATTCAGTTTCAGTGTCAGTTTACTCGTCGCGTATGCAACAACATGTCGCGCTTAAAGCTTACAATTCTCCTACTGAGTTCACTTTCGGTCTACTTGCGTGTCAACGCAGACGAGTCGAGTACTTGGTCTTTGAATTTCGGTGGTCTCTCGCTCTTTAATATACCACAATTCGGTCGCTCGTTAGCCGAAGCTGTGGGTGTTATCACCGAGAATCCCCTAAATACCGTCGATATTTTGCCACGTGGCCGTGTTGCAGATCCTTATGTACCGGAAGATGCACATTTGAAAACGGTAAAGTAGTGTTGGGCGTACGTAATGGGGGTGTAATGAATATTTACGATTTGTGTATTTATTGTTTAGCCGGAGTTAATTGAAAAGTATGGTTTTCCTTCGGAAATTCATCATGTAACCACCGATGATGGTTACATTTTGGAATTGCATCGGATTGCGCGTGAGGGCGCCACACCGGTGCTGTTGATGCATGGTTTGTTGGATTCATCGGCGACATGGGTTATGATGGGACCCGATAAGGGACTCGGTAAGTGTTGCTTACTAAATTTTTAACTGTTCATATGTGCACCGATTTATATGACATTCTTTCATTGCGATTTGTGAGAAAGATCTGTCTGCAAACACAGGTGGGGTATGCTTCATTAATTCTTTTTTTCAATGATACATTTCGAAGTTTCCTACTTTTTTTTAAAGAAAAAAACACAGAAAATTTAAATGTAATAGAGAATGTTTATTATCATTCGAAAGAACATTCTTGGGCATTAATTTTTTGAAGAATATCAAATATTGCCCGCGCGTACGTCTCAGATGGTCCTTCCGTTGAGTTCAATTATCGATGAATCGTTTGAGTATTTCGACTGGTAACCGACGAATACCATGCATGACGTTTTCCTTCAAGGCCTGAATTGAGGCGGGATTGTCAGCATAGAGTTTAAACATTACGTATCTCCACAGGAAAAAGTATAACGGTGTGATATCACATGATCTTGGTGGCCAATCTACTGGCCCGAAACGTGAAAATTACCTGCTCACCGTAGTGCTCTCTCTATAAATCCATTGATTGATGCGTCGTGTGGGAAGTGGCGCTGTCTCTTAGAAACCAAATGTCGCCGAGATCACGAGCTTCAATTTTGGGCATCAAATAGTCTATTATCACGGCGCTATAGCGGTCGCCATTGACGATTACGTTCTCACCGGCATCAGTTTTGAATAAATATGGTCTAGTGATTTTCCCTTCCTACAAACCACACCACAGCGTTATTTTTTCTCGATGTAAAGGAGGCTCTTGAACCTCTCACGGTTGTTATTCGTTCCAAATGCGGCAGTTTTGCTTGCCTACATATCCGTCGAGACAGAACTTTACCTCATCGTTAAACAGAGTTTGCTCGGATCTTCTTGGAACTCTTCAAGAGCCCATAGAGCGATGTGATGTCGGTTTGGAAGATCGCACAGCTTCTGTTCTTAAACATGTTGTATTTTGTACGCTTTCAATTTGAGATCTCGGCGTGAAATGCGCCAAGTCGTTTCATATGTGAGTCCGAGTTGCTGCAAACGGCGCCGAATCGACTCTCCACGTTATTCCTGTGCACTCTCAGCTACAACTGCTAGATGTGGTCTATTCGGTCGAATATAATATTATCCAAAAATCAATGTTGGGTCTCTAGAAGGGTGATGGTGTAGCGAATACTACGCTCAGTAGGGCGATTATGTTGACCCTAAGTTGAGCGAAGCGCGCGGAACGCATTTTTTATAGAACGTGAACTTTAGTAAAAAATTTGAATATGATAAGTCTTCCATGATGAAATCCCAAGCAATGCTGATGCAAAAATAATACGATATATATATAACTCGAGGTTATTGAGACGTTCGATTACTAACGTTGTTTTTTCATATTTTTCCCAAACCAAACTTTGAATGATATTTTGTCCGACAAGCTTTGGTCGTGTATCGATAAAGCTCGAAGAATTCTTGCCGGCCAAAAGTGAAGAGTTGGTTCAACTCATTCTAATAGCTTAATCGGAATCGATGGTTACAATTCAAATATTTTGAGAGAGAGCGAATCAAAGTGATAATCTGATAGTGCTAAGTCAGCTGTGCAGTCTTGATGTAGCGACACTTTGTGACCACTAAATCGGTTTTCAGCCGAGCAATTTGCGATGTGTGTCTTGATTTCTTTCCAATAAATTGAGGAAACTACTGTTTATTCTAAGCCGCCTCTGAAGGCCCGGAGGATTTTTATGGGAGGCTTTGATTTTGGTGTTAGAAATACACAAGGAGGTCTTGACATTTTCTACCGAGTGGCGAAAGCAATTAAATTTTATATATCAGATGTTCGTTGGGCCAGAACTCCAACCCAGACCTTCCGAATGTTAGTGCGCAATGCTAACTAAGGACCGGGGCAGTAGTGTTTCGAGCAGCAATCCATTGAACTTCAAGTGAATCGACTCATATAAAAGAATTTTCCGTAAAAATCGTACCTGGACTGATTTCTAAAAAAAAAGGAAAATTTTATTCCGTTGAGGATCTCGTTTACGCCCGCTCACGCTATCATAAAGAGAACCAGTTCAATTCAACTATCGAATTGTGTGATGGATCAAGCTAACCTATCCTCTAATCTCTGGTTCATATTCGAAACGAAGTACTCTAAATTTTTATGTGTTAAAATAAATCAATAATCAGATTTTTTGGAATAGATAAGTCTCAGGTTTATTTCTCGAAACAAAAAGGAGTGTTCATCTCAAACTATGCGTAAAGTTACCTGCGTAAAAAATTTGACGAAAATCTTGAATTATTCTCTTATTCTTCTTGCATGACCGGATATCAATCAGAGCTTATTTTTACTAAATATGTATATATAATGTATGTTTCCGAAGAAATACGTTATGTGATGTCTTTCTTTTTCTTTAAGCAAAAAAGAAGTGCTGTTTTTGGCCTTTAAGAAGTCCTTATACTTTTCATGACATACCCAATTTCTGTGTTTTCGAATTTTATATGCAGTTACGTATGTAGAATTATGTTCCAAAATCTCAAATCTGCCCTACTGATGGTTTCTTTTTTCATGAGAAAATATCATTTCACACAATCGAATGAGATGATATTCTATGCGGAGGGGCGACCGCAATTAGAAAATGAATTTTCTATTATTTTTGAATATTGATCAACCCAGGAATCTAACCTTGGCAATCGGAATGTTCGTACACAATGCTAACCACTCGGTTTTTTGACTGCACCCACCATATAGTTACCACATACTTTTTGTTTTGGTCTATGTTCAAAATTTTGTCCACTGTAGAGCCGCTAAAAATCATTTGGACAATTTCCATTAAATTTCTAAATTGATGGAATTAGGAAGCTAACCGAAAAATGGCAAAAGATCATAGATTAAAATGATCAGTGTATACTTGATTAAACTAACTTTTCAATAACCAAATATTTTATTTAAAATATATACAAAAAAAAAAATGCTGAGCCCTTTTATATGAAAATTTGGAATATTCATTCATACTAATACGAGGGTTGCCTTTTATATTTCGAGATTAGCAAACAGAAATAAAATATCAATCATCAAAATATTCTCGAACCAACTGTCGGAGCTTTTTTGCCACACTCATTAAGCTATCTCCGAAAAATGTGTTCGGAATGCATCAACCGTCTCTTCAGGTGTCGAAAAACGTTAACTCTTCAGCTTATTTTTTACGTACGTGAATAAAAATAGGGCGTTCAATGACAAGTCAGGACTATTCGATGGATGACTCAGCAAACCGATGCCTTAAGTGCTCAAAAATTTAGTGGTTTCAGGTAATGTGTGAGAGCTCTCATTGCCATGGGGAAGTGTGATCCATTTTCGGCGGTTGGTTTCCTTGATTCCTTGAAAGACAACTGGAAACCAAATGCTTGTGGCCCACTTAGAATTTACTTTCTGTTCTAATGGCGCGGTTGCGACATGTCTAGATCTTCCAAAAAAAAAAAAAAAAAATAGGCAACCATTTGCTTGGAAGTGCTTCGTGCACGAAAACTCTCGTTGGATACGGCTCATCTTTAAAGCATCAAACAGTCGGCCGTCTTTTACTTTCGGCTTTATATGTGTAAGCCCAAGATTCATCACCTGTCACTATGACATGGATACTTATTTAATAGTACTGTTAGCGTATGCTCTTAACATTTCTCTCAACCAATCGACACGATCCTCCTTTTTTGTTTTGAGCGATTGATTAGGATCCAACGTGAAGAAATTTCTTCATAGTAAAATTTAAACTTAATGTATGCTGGTTCCACTAATGTCTATAATTGTCTCAATCTCACGATAGGTCACAGGAAGATCTTGTTTAATCAGTTTACGCACGGCATCGATAGTCTCCGGAGTAAAAACTTATTTTGATTGACCCTCACGAAAACCGTATCGCAATAATGGCTGAATACATCATAATATTGATAAACACTGCTCCTTGATGGACCTTAATCGACAAAAATTTAAATCAGTTCATCATTGCACTGCGGCTTTGTTAACCCATGTTGAAAGTTGTAAAAAACTAAATGCGACTAAACGTCTGCTATAGGCCGGGCTGAATATTTTAAGTTACAGTAAACAACAAAAAAATCGCTCATACACGTATTTCAAAACAATCTGAGTATGACGTATAACACCAAAAATGTCAAACTTTGCGCTAAAGTTGTCAGTTGCCAGATTAAAACGCTAGGGTTGCCAAGTTACGAAGTATAAAAGGCAACACTCGTACCCGTCTCCAAGTAGTTTTTCTTACTTTGCACAAAGAAATTAATCAAAAGGCCAAATTTCTGTTGAAATTGTATTTTAAATAATGACCAATTGTTAAGAGATTCTCACGCTTAAAGACAGAGTGACGCAAGTATTAAATAAATTAAACTATTTAATGAAGATTAAGACAATTTGGCAATTTAATTACATCAAACTAATTTTTTTCTCATTATTATTATTATTTCGAAATTCATTTTAAATATGTACGAGTGCAAGTAGGTCAAAAAATTTTAAAATGTGTATTAAATCACTTATTAAATAATATTTATGTATTTATTAAAATTAATATGCAAATTAAGGGGGGAAAATATTCGACTTAATACGTAAGTGTTTCTTATAATTCAAATTCCCCTCTGAAATGTGCCACATAATTGTGAAATGATAACCGGGCTCAACACAAAACTTATTTGTGTAAATTAAATGAATCAAAGGTTTTAAAGATATTTTAAAACTCCGAATTTTGAATGACTTAGAAAAAGGGTGGACCCGACATAGGCTTTTTACGCTAAAAAACGAACGATGAACATTTTAAGTCTTAAGAAGTGAAGCTTAATAGCGCTGACAGACGGTAGCATTAATGCCAATTAACTGCGTACTTAATTACTTACTTTACTGGCGTAGACAGCGCTTACGCGTAATTTAACCATGAATCGTCTTACAAACGAGCCACCCTTGCAAATTATTTCTCTGTTAATAAAGTTCATCGCGCGCTTCTTCCATTTTATGGTCAGCTCAGCGACGAAGCTCTTTTTTGGCTTAATCGTTGCTTAAATAAGCAGAATTGTCGATTTTAGAGCGAAGATCAGCCAGAAGCATAGTAAAAGAGTTACCATTGCATCCAGAAAAAGTCACAGTTTGGTGCGGTTTATGGGCTGGTGGCATCATTGAACCGTTCTTCTTCAATGATAATGCGAATCGCAATGTAACTGTGAATGGAGAGCGCTACCGTGAGATGATATTCAACTTTTTTTTTGCCCAAAATGCAAGCGCTTGACTTGCATGGCATGTGATTTCAACAAGGCGGTGCCACGCGTAAAATGGACTTATTGAGAGACGAATACGGTGAACATTTTATTTCACGTTCGGGACCGGTCAATTGGCCGCCTAGATCGTGCGATTTAACGCCGTCAGACTATTGTTTGTGGGACTTTGTTAAAGCTATGGACCTTTTGAGGCGCAATCACGGTCAACATTTGCATGAAATAATGTTGAAGCATTAAATTACGGTAATATCGACTCAAATAAAGATTTCATGCATTTTCCTGAATTTTATGTTTTTTTTTTTTTGAAAAACTCTCGTATAGTTCCTAAAAAGTCACCCTTTATATATACATATGTACAGTGTAGAATTTTATTTCATGTCTGGATGGTGTCAACATCGGCATTGCATTCATTGCACCGATTAGACGTGTGAGTCACTGTATATTTATATCATTTTATGCAAACACTGGTTTGTGTCTCAAGCAAGCAGCTGATCCCGAAAATATCCACTCTCTTCCTCTTCTTCTTACGATTCGATCATAGCTTAGAATACGTAATAGTCGAACTACTAATTTACATACCACCCAGCCGTACCAATGACGTGGTCAATATATGGATTAAACTGCTCCAAATTTCATAAAGCCCGTGAAACACTGTCATTACTGCAGAGACGTTTCTAGGTCTTCTACTCTCTCGTTTTGGTTATCAAAATTGGCCCCTCATATGATTCAATACCATCAATCCTCTTTCTTCGTGTTTTTCAATAAATTTTTGCAAACTTTTGGTAAGCATTCTTCGGTGTAACATTTTGCAGTTTCCGTCTGACCTTTTTCCCGTGGAATAACAGCTACGATTTTAGATCGGTGTTGCTTAGGGTGGGTATGCTCCTGTTGTGCTCCATACCATCTACTGCTGTTTGGTTTCTGGATCATACTTATAGAACTACAATAAGATTCGTAACCAGTAACGACTTTTCTAAAGTTGCTAGACTGACGTTTTCCGAATTTGTTTAGGAAAAATTGAGTAAAATTCGGGGTACCCATCGAGGAGATTTCTTCGTGTATCCTAGATACAGTCATGGCCTCCAATCCCAATTCAGTAGCACCCATTTTGTGTGTCAATCGTGGGTCCTCGTCAATTTTAAACTTCAGTGATGTCATCAGTGGATGATTTTGGCCGACCTTCTCGGAGCTCGTCCTCTTCGTCCTCGGAACCACTTAGAAATAGTCTTTAAAGATGGTGCAATCGTTCCATATGTAATCTGGCATACATTGAATATTTGTATCGGTTGTTAATTACGCCGGAACCCGAAGAGAATTACATGGCGAATTTCTGTTTGGGTTTGCGGTGGAATTTCGTAAATCCCTTCGTATGGTATTTTGATGAGAGAACTATTATGTATTAGTGTTGGCACCTTCTTTTAAAACTCCGCCTGGAAAGCCTTAAAAGGTACAGTTAAATGCCAAAACACATAAGTCTCTGTAGTTCATATCTGGTTAACAGAAAGATATATACGACGCAAGTTATTCCTCTTGGGAGAAATGGTTTCGACATATTAGTAAATATCATTGAGATAAGTGGTTAGTTCGGAGTTTGATAGTGGAGTTGGTGGTAAGGCTTCCTTAAAATATACCCTCTGGTGTCTTTTTGGTCTACTAGAGATGGCCAAATAGAAAAGATTGCCTCTCAACTGGGTACCTGGTCATAGAGGGAAACTGTAAGGCAGACGAATATATTGGACAAGGCACGGCCAAGCAGTTGCCTTTCTATATAGAACACTCTAGCTCTCTTTTGCTTCTTTACTTAGATGAAATCGCACCAAGACTTGAATCTAATGGGATTGTAAGAGGTCAGGCGAAAATTACTACCCTAGATGGGGGGGGACATCTCAGAGGTAGTAGGAGTGCTGGCATGACTACTGTCTGATGTTGCTACAAGCTCTGGAGAAGCTCTGAAAACTTTGAGTATGTGGAAACGATCTTTTATAAGACTAGCTAGGCACTGTAGAAGTTCTCTTTCCTAATGATTTATCTAAGAGGGCAGAAGTGTAGATACATAAGCTAAAAAAAAGATTTTAAGAGAATCTAAGTGTTTCGACAGGGAAGAGACATTCTTTGTTCGACATAGTATCGCAATGGGCTTACTCCGGCTCGCGTGCTAGTTTGTGTTAGCTCGCTCGCTTACACCGATGGAACATTCGCGACGAAAATCTATGACAAGAGATCGTTGAATTTGAATCCATGGGAGAGTCACTAATTGTTAACGGACCGAAAATCTGTTTGCTTTTTTATCGAAAACTGCACGAAGTTCGAATTAAGTATGCTGTTAAACTCTGTTGATCTCTCTCTCTTCTCTTTGATACAAAAATTTTATTTACCAAACGCAATACATTGGTTATAAACTCTTTCTTCTTCCAGCATATCTCCTCTATAACACTGGCTATGACGTTTGGATGCCGAATGTGCGGGGTAACACCTACTCACGCAATCATACCAAGTACAGCACGAAGCATGCCAAGTTCTGGGATTTCACATTTCATGAGATGGGAAAATATGATTTACCAGCAAGCATTGATTACATTTTGGAGGAAACGGAAGAGGAGAAGTTGCACTACATCGGCCACTCACAGGGCACCATGACATTCTGGATAATGTGTAGTGAACATCCGGAGTATAGTGATAAGATCATCCTAATGCAAGCATTGGCGCCAGTGGCTTATGTAAAGCATAGTAAAAGTCCGGTTGTCGAATTTTTGGCCTTCTTTCAGGACCCACTCAGTGTGCGTACGGCGTGCATTTATAACTTTATGATCGGAATAATAATAAATTATTTCTTTTTAAATTTTTTTTTCGTTATTCAGATGCTACTAAAGCTGATTGGAGCTCATGAGTTTTTGCCCGGCAACGAATTTATGACGATGTTCAGTCAAATAATCTGTGATGAGGACACCTTTACACTGAACATCTGCTCTGATGTACTTTTCCTGATAGTTGGCTTTGACAAGGCGCAAGCGAATGAGGTTAGTATTAAATGAAGTTTAAATGAACAAGCTCGAGTCTTGCCCCCTTTAAAATAAATAGTTAGCACATCAGTGGTACAGTAAAGTACGCTTGCCTTGACCCAAAAAAAAATTGACACTGAGTAACCGCTGAGGCGATTTTCGGAAGAGCCCCTCCTCCAATTTGTGGTGCTCGTCCGGATGGTTTTCCAGCTAAGCCGCTTCTGAATGTCTGATAGTTCTTATGAGAAGCCTTTATATCAGATAAAAATACACTTGGAGGGCTCAGCATACTCTGCCCAAGGGCGACCGCAATTAGAAAAATTAATTTTGTATGTTGGTCGAATGAGGATTCAAGCCATGGCCTTCCCAATGGCAGTACACAATCCTAGCCACTTAGCTTTGTCGGTCGCCAACCCAAACATAGAGTTTAGTTCTCTGCAGTACGACGGAATGCTCATAAAGTGCGGTGCACTTAAGTTGTCTTTCTCTGGAAAGAGAAACACTCTATTTGTTCTTTCTTTCTTCTGGTGCCACGATATTAACGCGACTATTAAGCCACGCCTCCTCAGTGGCCGCAGTAGCCGAGTGGTTAGCATTGCCTACTGCCATTCAAAAGGCTCGGGTTCAAATAACCGTGCGACCAACATCCCAAGCTATAGAAAATTTATTTAAAAAAAATTAAGTTAAATTTTCTAATTGCGGTCGCCCCTCGGCAGGGAATGTCAACCCCTCCGAATGTATTTCTGACATGAAATGAAGCTCCTCATAAAAACAAAAACCATCATCTGTTCGGAGGCCAATGTAATTTACAGTCTCCGTAGTAGCTGATATTTTCTTTTCGACAAAAAACCGACTTCGATGGAGTGTCAAAATGTCAAAGTTAGCCTTCTATTCTTCCCTTCTGAGGTTTTGCGTCAACTAGTCGTTGGTATTAACCAGAGCTGATTAGCTGCCGTCTGCGTTGTTCGGTTTTAAGTGTTTTCGTTTTACGAGGTTAATATCTCCTGTCTTGTTTATGGAAGTGAAATAAATACAGTAATAAATTTTAGGACTTAAGTCCGACGCCTTCTCTATCCATTTATTCTACTGCCTTTCAAATTCTCTGGAACTACGCACCACAATTTTGACATCTTTTCCAGATTTAAGTTAATAGCATTCAGAACTGGCGTGTTTATTGCAGGGATGTCAAATCTCATAATCAGGAAATTATTTCCCAGTTCTTGTTTGAGTTACAATAAACCTCAGAGCAGTTCGACTACCGCGGACTGTTTAACCTCTTTCCGTATCCTAGCCCTGACGAGTCTTGTGCGGACCAATTTGATTTTAAATCGACTGTTATGTGAGGAACATGACATCTGTCAAAGTTAAAAAGTAGTTAGTAGCTGGAAAGGGCAGCTGAATCTCTGCAATTTCTGCACTGGTGACTATTTTTTCGTATCAATCCAATGCCCTGCCGCATATCTTTTTCTTCTTCTGCATTGACGTGCGCCCCGCTTACGCGATTGTAACCCAATCAACAAGAGCGCGCAATTCGGTTCTTCTCTTGGCTTGGTGCCAGTTGGAAATACCAAGTGAAAGCAGATCGTTCTCTATCTGATCATTCTAATGGATTGGAAACACTCCTCTTCCGCTGCTTCCATCGGCGGGTACTGCATCGAAAACTTTCAAAGCTGGAGTGCTTTCGTTCAGCCTGACGACATGACCTAGCCTGTGTAGCTGAACTATATCAATGGTACCGTAAACTCGTACGGCTTATCGTTCCATTGTCTGCAGTATTCACCGTAATCATAATATCAGGACTAGTAAAGAGTAATATTTCGTTGGAATTGTCCGATTTATATGCCGTTTTGCTAGATAACTTTTCGTTATTTCTAACATAGAAACCCTTGGGACTATCGATTTTTATTGACTTATTTTAATACCAATTCTTCACCAGCCAAATCAATCGTCATAGACAGGAATAGATGGTAATCACTCACTGCATGGTCCGGTATATAAGGTGGGTACATAAGAGCTTCCCAACCAAACTTTCGGAGCTTCTTTCATGCCATTATCGATATGTGTGGTCTGGCATTATCCTGATGAAATACAATTCACATTCTGTTGGCCTAATTAGCGCGATTCACTGAACGCTTGCCTTCTGCAGACGGTCCAACTGCTGGCAGTACATGTCCGAATTGAGAGTTTGACTATACGGGGACAGTTAGTGTTTAATAGTTCCTTGCCAGTCCCACCTACCACACAACAAAACCTTCAATGTCGTGAATCCTGGCTTGGATACTATTTGTATGTATGGGTTCATTACCCTTCGACCACGACCATTTTCATTTAAGGTTGCTGTAAACGATCCACTATGGGTTGATTTTCTTAAGATTCAGCTGCGATTCGCAGATGGAAATTCATTCCACGAAGTTTTTTCTCCTAAACTCATGTAGCAGCCACGCATCTAGGGTCTTTGTGTATCTAGCCTTTTTCAAGTAGTTCCAAGCTGATTTCTGTGCAATGCCTAGCTTCTGGATAATCGGAACCGTTCTCGCATGACGGTCAAACTCCGTGATTTCCATTAATTTATCGACATTTTCGACAATTGGCCTTCCGTGGATCGTGGAGCATCTTTTACATCAAAATTACCGGAATTAAAATGACGAAAATAAAATTATGATTGATTGACTGTTACGGTATTCACATATTTAGCTGTCCTAACTACCGTTTTCGCCTTTATCGAAGTGAAATTATAGAATTTAGCGTATTTTCTCTGTGCTGGTTGGTGCCAATCTGTGACGTGCGCTCAAGCACTACTGAGTTAAGTGATAAAAACTGCTCTCATTACCTTTTTTAGTACAAAATATTATCATTCTAAAGCCATCTGCAAGAGATAGATGACAAATAGAGCAAAATTTTCGTTAGTCAAAGAGTAGAGCCGAGCCCTAGTCGAGTAGCCTACTATCCGGTTTAAGGCCAAGTCCTGCACTGTTGATTCGATTTTTCACAATGCAGTCGGCCTTCAGTAGAGTATTTATGGTAATTAGTTTTACTAATCTCTAAATATTATTTTTTCTCTCTTGATTTTCAGACAATGTTGCCCGTCGTACTCGGTCATTCGCCCGCCGGTGCCTCCACCAAACAAATGCAACATTTCGGTCAGCTAAAACGTTCGGGGCATTTTCGTCAATACGATCACGGTTGGATACGCAATTACTGGATTTATAACAGCATTACACCGCCGGATTATCATTTCGAGAATGTACGCAACAAGGTAGCACTGCATTACTCACAAAACGATTGGCTCGCCACGCCGCCGGATGTTGAGCAACTTCACCTGCAGCTGCCGAATGTCATTGGCAAATTCCTAGTGAGCTATCCGAATTTCAATCATTTGGATTTCGTTTGGGGTGTGGATGCTCATAAGCTGCTGTACAATCGCGTGCTGCGGCTAATGAGTTTGGTGGAGCGCAAAGAGCTTTAAGAGTTAACTTTTGTATTTAAGGAATTAGCAAATAATGTAAAAATTAATATTTTAATTATAAGAATGAAACGTGTACCTAACATTTAATGTATTTGTTACGTAATCTTAAATTTGCTTACATCAATCAGGCTATAAATAGAAAGTAAATCAATCAAATGAAGACGCCTACATTTTATCATAAGCCGCCTCCGAACAGCTGGAGCCTTTATTTCATGTAAGAAATACACTGCGAGAGGTTGACATTCCCTGCTGAGAGGCCTACCGGTACCGATCTTAGAAACTGGACACACCGAATGACATTACGCAATACTTTAATGAGAGTCGTTTTTTGATCGTCTTTGGGAAAACATTAGGACTATTCTTACATAGACTGTGATCTGATTTGGAAAATCTTTCTCAGACTAACAAAGGAGCTCTTACTAACATTCGAATCAAAAACGAGGTTTCAGACAAAGTCACTATCGTGGAACTTTTTCATTTTAAGATAAAGCTGAAGTAATGAGCTGGATATTCAAGCCGAGATAGCACCATTGTCTTCATCCGTGAAGTGAATGGGTCTGGCAGCGAAAGGGTATAAATGGAAGAATCTTCCTTCATTATGCAAACAGCCAACGACACGCAAACTATAATGAGGGCTCAGAGTTCGCTTTGTAACGCTCAAATGATTTCGTCTATTTTGGAATTGTATAGTTTTCTCTCGACGAAAAAGGGCTAAGCCCATCCTGTTGATGGCCGACTGAACCTTTTCCAAGCTTGATAAAGAAAGGAAGCGTATGGGTCTGACAGTGAAGGAGAGCGAACAAATGCTAACCCAAACCTGTTGATACAAACGTTAGGGCCCTTGTGGCCCCTTAAGTAACCTAGACAGTGTTAGCTCTATCCTATGGAAGGATGAGTTCTACGATCAAGCGTATTAAAAGGGAGCGGCATTTTTGGCTCCAGCTTGTGGAGTTTTCGATGTAGTATTTACTGGTGGTAAGCCTCTTCAAGAATGGGTGCATTGCTCGGCAGAGAGTTCAGTGGTCTGTCTTCTGTTGTAAAATATCTAACTGCATAGGATTTTGGCTTCCAGCTCATTGCAGATTATAGACGAACTGTTTCGGTTGGTGGAAGGTGACTTCTGGTCAATATTTGCTAGTAATAGCTAATGCGCACCCTCACCATGCAGCAGTGCGGAAACGATGAGCGACTTGTAGAGTTAAGTCTTCGTTCGTCGAGAGAGGACTGCTAAATGGTGCGAAGGCATGGAGCGATGACTACATCTGATGAGTCGGCGTTAGGAGTTTTCAATAGAAAAGTTTTGCATGAGATTTATTGTCCTCTACCAGTTGGTAATGGCGAATACTGCAGCCGATAAAATAATGAAGTGTAAGAGATATGCGGCGATATTGATATAGTTCAGCGAATTAAGAAACAGCGGCTGGTTCGGATTAAAATACTCGAAGAGCTTTCGATATAGTACCCGCCGGCGGAAGAAGAGAAAGGGGAAGATCTCCACTCCGCTGGAAATATCAGGTGGGCAAGGACCTGGCTGAACTTGGAATCTCCAATTGGTGCCAAAAAGCGAAAATTCGGCATAATCGCATGAGCGGTGTAAACGTCAGCAGAGAAGAAAAAGAAATATCTAATGGACTTCATTAATGGTGTGTTTTGATATGGGAAAGAATACTTGTAGGGTCGGTGGTTCTAGCGAAATTGTTGGAAACAACACATTGGATGAGCTTTCAGCTTCTGATACCACCATATCGTAACTATCTGATCTGTAGCAAACAGGTGCTCCTCAATGAAAATGCGATCTGCATCTGGTGAGTTGAACCCCAAACCAGCACTTATTCGTGAATGGTGGTAGGATTCTTCTGACCAAAACTGGAGCACGACAGATCAGAGAAGCTCCTCGCACTCAAACATGGCAAGAGTTCTGTCCATACATTGTCCAATCGGTAAGCACACAGTTTGGCTTGGAATTTTCTTGGGAACCCTAGGGTCAGAGTTGTCTGAAGAAGAAGCACCAACCTTCCTCGCTTTTGCGAGCCTTCTTTAACCTAACCTACACTAATATGAACATGAGCTTCAATATCCTTACAAAATTTCTTCATAAGTATTTGTTTTTACACACATACATACATATATATATGCATTTATGCATCCAAGTGGCCACCATCACTCTTGCAACACATTGCATTGGCGAATTTTGGCAATTTCCATATAAAACGAAACAAAACACTGCAACATGTTCGATATTTGTGGTTGTCATTGGACTTTGACAGCAGTGTGTTTGTGTGAGTGTGTATGTGTATGTGCGAGCAACTAAATGCGGCCTTAAGCAAACAAGCCAACATAAGTACTCAAACATGCCATGTATGTATGTGTGTATGTATAAGTGTACACATGTTGCTTAAAACCAAACACATTTACTGAGCTGACAGCCTGTGATGGAAGCTAACGTGATAAGAGGAGGATATGCTAATATATGCCGAAGCATCAGCAGCAACAAAGGCTCAAGGATGCAGGACAACAGAGAGTTAAAGTGCAGAAAAAAAATTCTACACATAGATATTACTGCTTGTATGGGAGCAGAAAAAAAGGGTGTTGTAAAATAATTGTTTGCTACGATTTCCAAATATTTGTTGCCCTAACAGATTTTAACCCGTTTCGTTGCATCTTTTATGTGGGAGTTGAAAATTACTACCATGCGATGGAGACCAAGCTGTGAGGAAAATATATTTCAGACATAACTTTTGTTCTTTCATTCGACATACAATTGCGTAGTGTGGTTTTAGGCGCACAGCGAAGCTTAATGGTTTGAGATGCATTTTATGCAATAAATTAGTAGAAAAAATGTAAAAAATAAGAATTTATTGTAGTTTAATAATAAACGATTAATTTTAAAAAATAATAAATCCTCTTATACCTGTAGCCGACCTCCAGGAGCTCCTCCCAAAAAAGGTGTCGGGCGGTGGGGCAGATATTTCAAAACCACATACGGTCCGGACTGTTCTGAACACAATATCAATCTTCATATAAATCAGTAAATATTTCTTGATATAGAAGAACGAGCCAGAAGAATCTATGCTATAAAGCTTTTGGGTGTGTATTAAAAAATAATTTTTTGCCGCCCGCCACCTTAGTCTATGTTAATCTGCCGTGCAGAGATCCAAGGCTGAACTTTTTATAGTTGACATTTCATACGGTTCTTTGGCCATCTAATGAGCCGAAACCTTTCGGTGGTCGAAAAAAAAGGAAAAGGGAAAAAGGAACCGTCGACTGCGTTAGAGCTCCGTACCGCAGCAAGACGACATTACTCCTGGCGGTGGACCGGTATTCACAGCCAAACGCCCCTAATTGCAAACCATTCCATGGGGCACGGAATCACATATCAGGCCGAATCAGGATGGAAGGGTATTTTCGACACCCTGATAGGAGAGAGGCTTGGCCTACAAACTAAGTGGATTTCGTACTAATTTTGATTCCTAAATAGAGTAACACAAACAAATTCCAAAATAATGCCAAAGGAGTGAAATTGGGTTTTCAATGGATCGGTGGTATAAGTATTCTGCAACCTAAATATGGTAATCTACGATTTTCTTAAAGGATATTTATATGTATGTATGGGCGCCGCAATAGCTGAGTAGTTAGGTATGCTTGCGGCCATTCGGAAGCCAAGCCAGAGTTCGCTCTTCTGGTCTGTCCAAAGTCAAAGCAAGGAATGTACAGTCCTCCGTGTGTATTTCCGACTTAATACAAAAGCTCCTCATTAAAATCCATCGACGGTAGCGTAGAATAAACTGTGGGTTCACCCATTCGTTGGAAACCATCAATATGCATACCTCAATTCGGAGGAGGAGCACGGCCGAAATTCGCTTCAGCGGTCACATATATACATATGTATGACAACTTGCATATGTATGTGTAATTGTAATATGCAAATACAAGTGCATGGGCATATATTTTGTGTTGTCTTTGACCTGCTTTTAGATTTTCACGCCCTCAGGTGCTTTTGCTGATAAGTAGAATTTACCCAAGCACATACAATTTTAATCGGATTTTCACTTTGCTTGTTATTTCTGTGCATCTGTGTGTATTCATATGAGTGTGTATTGTGCATGTCGCACAAAAGAGTGCCATAGGCCGACCACTCATGGACAGTATAAATGCATTTCGTTGCTGATGCTGAGTCTTCACGTGTTAGCGGCATAGCTGATGTCCTCCTCCTGTAAACCACTTTTATTGTGTACCGTTGTATCTAAGTAAGTATTTATGGACTCCTTTGTATTGTTATATGTAACTCCTATACAAAAGTTTTATACAATTTCGATTATTTCATTATTTGACAATTCAATAGAGCCCAAGACATTTGCTTTAACCAAGGCCAAGGTGCTGCCCTACAGAACCCATGCAATATACATATGAAAGTATGTACATATGTCCACATCCAATAACAATTCATATTTTCAATTATATTATAGATTTTTAGATTTACTTATATGTAAATAATAAATCAAAAATAAAATAAAAAATATTTTATTGTTGTATTTGGTATGGCACTGTATGCTGGTTGTCAGCAAAATGTTACTGAAAGAAGGAAAAGATGTTGAGGAATGATCTGAATATATTTCCACAAGCCAAGCATACACCTAAGAGGTTGTTAGAAGTTTAGTGGAAGGTTACAACTATTGCATGACTGTTATTTCTCCTTGCCCTAACGGCTTAAAGGCATCCTGAATTTACGGTTCATCGCTTTCATTTCAATTAGCCGAAGCATGTTGGTCAGAAAAGTTTCTTGTTCTTGGCGCCAATGAGAAATACCAAACGCAACCATGTTGCTCTCTTTCTGATCATTACAAATGAGTTTAGGTTTTCCTTTCCCTCTGCTTCCATCATCCCCCATCCATCGAAAATAATTAAAACCATGACCTAGCCAGAGTAACCGTTGTTCATTCGCTGTCGTGTCGTTTGCAAAACTTTTCTTTCAAAGGCTACCAAGGTCTACTCGTCGCACCCTGATGCCTCCGCAACATAAAGTAGGGCGGAAATGATGGGGGATTTGTAGAGTAAGGTCTTTGTTCGTCAATTGCCTACACAGTCCAAAGTAGCACCTGTTGGCAAGACTGACACTGCGTTCGATGCCGAGTGGGAGCCGAGTCGCGAACGCGATGAGTGTTTTTGTGATGA